GTGTGAATTCTGATGTGTTTATCAAGATTAAATTTGTTAGAGAAGCTTTTTCCACAGGACAGACATTCAAAAGGCTTCTCACCTGTGTGAATTCTCATGTGTTTATCAAGATGTGATTTGTCAGTGAAGCTTTTTCCACAGGATAGACATTCAAAAGGCTTCTCACCAGTGTGAATTCTGATGTGAGAAGTCAAATTACCCTTTTGATTAAATTTATTGTTACAAATGGTACAGGAAAAAGGCTTCTCACCTGTGTGAATTCTCCTGTGTTTAGTCAAACTACCCTTTTTAGTAAAATTCTTGTTACAAATGGTACAGGAAAAAGGATTCTCACCAGTGTGAGTTCTGATCTGTCTATCAAGATGAGATTTCTTACTGAAGCTTATTCCAAAGGATAGACATTCAAAAGGCTTCTCACCAGTGTGAATTCTGATGTGTGTATCAAGATGAGATTTATTAGTGAAATTTTTCCCACAGGGCAGACATTTAAAAGGCTTCTCACCTGTGTGAATTCTCATGTTAGAAGTCAAATTACCCTTTTGATTAAATTTATTGTTACAAATGGTACAGGAAAAAGGCTTCTCACCAGTGTGAACTATGATGTGTCTATCAAGATGAGATTTGTAAGTGAAGCTTTTTCCACAGGACAGACATTCAAAAGGTTTCTCACCTGTGTGAATTATGTGTTTAGTCAAACTACCTTTTTCAGTAAAATTCTTGTTACAAATGGTACAGGAAAAAAGCTTCTCACCTGTGTGAATTCTCATATGTGTATCCAGACTAGATTTATTTGTGAAAGATTTTCCACAGGACAGACAATAAAACTTCTGACCTGTGTGAGTTCTCATGTGAACCATTAAATGCCCTTTTTTAAGAAAGTTTTCTCCACATATCAAACATGGGAAAGGTTTCTCTCTTGTATCTTTAACATTATGCTTCAGAACAAGCTGTTCTTTCTGCTCACTTATGGGGAGCTCCATGGTTTCCTCTTTTATCCAGGGATGTTCTGGCTTTTGATGCTCTTCTTTTATCTGCGGATGTTCTGGCTCCTCTTGATCCAAACTGGATTTCCTCTCCTGTCCACAGAGCTGCTGGTCAGAGAAATCCTCCTCTTTTCCA